AAATTTTTGTGCACCGGGCCTCTAGTCTAATATAAAATTCAATTTGGCATGGTATAATTAGTGGGGAATGTGTAGTCATAATTAATAGGGGAAAAGTCACAGAGATAAATTTTTTAAAATGTCCTTTTATAAAGGATTTAAGGTATCAAAAATCAATACAATAATTAATTTAAAGAAATCTGACATACAAAAATTGCTTATTAATTTAGAATTGATAGTTTAGTGATAGGCCTGTGCATGAGACAAAGGGAGACTTAAGTTGTCTGAAGGAGGAAAGATCTGAAACATGCTTTGTCCTAACTGGCTAATTCTTTTTAAAATCTGATCTATGTATTATATATCTTTATCTCCTTTTTTCTCCAGTACAGCAAGTGTTAATATTTTAGGGGGATAATAAACCCCGGGTCTATTATCTGATAAAAGTTCTGAACTGTATCAACAATTGCATTTAACTGCCAAATTTTATGTTTGTTATCTTAAGGAATTCATAGGCTCCTACCCCATCATTGACTGGCTAGAGAATATTTGTCTCAGGAATGTTTTCTGGAAAAAGCATCTCCTTATTTGAGAGAAATCACATTTTAAGTAGTTTAAGCGTTTTTTTTCTTGTTCCTGACAATACTAACCTAGAACCTGTCACTATGTTAAACTAGAGAGGTGGGGGAGGAAAAGGGAGTATGATCTTCCACTGAGGACTTTATCAATCTTTTTAAGAGTAAGTTTTTCTCTCTGGCTCAATCAGTATAAGGTTATGGGAAATCTTATATTTCTGTGGCAGTGTAATCCTCTTCTACTTTTTAATTTCATAATACTACCCAATTTAGGTCCTGCTTCATGTTTTCATCTGAGGGAAACACAAAACATCTAATTACCATGGAGGATATTCTAGGTTCCATCTGAATACCTTTGGTTTATAGTTTGTTTGATTTTTAAGAAGTACTTTCTTCCCTCCCTCACTTTAAACCCCACAGTTTCACCTTCCTTTCTCATGCTTTAATTGCTTACAGAGCTGTACTGAGATAAAACCTGTGAGGAAATCCATATAATAAAAAGCCTTTCTAGTTAATTGCAGAGCAGCACTTACTTTTGGAAGAGGAAAACCACTATAATAGGCCTATTATTACTTCCCTAGATAAAAGGCACAAAATGGTGTAGTCACTTGCTGAGGATGGGATTTGAACTTGAGCAGTCTGGGTCTAGAGTCCATATTCTTAGCTCCCAAGTTGTGACAGTTTTTATGACTGGTACTTTCATTATCTAGTTTCCCGCCCCCCCTTTTTACTAGTAGTTGGATATGAAGAGAAGATGAAAATATACAAACCTGTTTGAGTATCTGTATTGCTTAAAATAGTGATATCTGGTATAAAATAAACCACCTTCAAATTGATAATGGAACCAATATTATAAAAGTTTTACTTTTCATTCTAAAAGTCCAAAATAGGTTTTCTTGATCATGGAACAGCTCTTTTCTGAAGGGTGATTTATGAGCCACAACCCTTCTAACTTGTGACTTTACCGTCTTCAGTAATTGGCTTTTTATAATTGAGTTTGCTTCAGGCAGACCAAGGAGAGCATTGGATTGCAGGTGGAAGGTAGCCTGGCCTGGGCCTGGGCCTGGAAATGGCAGGCATAACTTCCGTTCACTTGCGTGGGCTGGAGCTCCACCTTATGGCCACACCTAACCATACGGGGAGCTAGGACATCTCCCTATCTAGGAGGCAGATACGGAACAGCTAGCAGATGCTGCCACAGTATCTAGTGATAACATGTTTCAAATATCTTTGAAGAAAATTATGGTAATTTCTTAATGAGAATGCCATAGAATGTTTTAAAAGTTCATAGACATACAGAAATATTAGCTACTTTAATTGTATTTTAGGGAAATGAAAAGGCAAATTTGTATTCCTTAGTGTAGTGTCATTTTCATGTCTTTTAAGTACATGTGTGTTTTTAACCTTTTCTTCAATTTTCATTTATAGGGCCCTTTAAAAGGACGCAGAGTTGAAGGAATTCAATATGAAGACATTTCTAAACTTGCTTGAGTTTGAAAATTTTTGAACATATTAAAATACTAAAGCATCAAATTGGTGTTCGCCAAGGCATTATGAGACTCTACTGTGTTAGGGTATTTCTTTTATATATAACAGAGGATTTCTGTAAATATTATTGTATAGTTGTTTAGCTAAACTTGTAGGAAATCTAATTATGTCTTATGAAATATCAAACTATGTAAATTTGTTCTTATTTTTGTTTTCTTTATAATATTTCCCTGATTTTTAAAATTTGCATTAAAAGAATATTATTGTAAAATGTTTTATATAAGGCAATTTAAAATCATAATTAGAGGAAATTCTTCATATACTCTAAACTTATATTTTTAGTAGTAACATTGAACTATAAATATAATTACATTTTAAAAAGTCAAACTAAATATAATAGCTTTATTGAGATATCATTCATACACCATACAATATCACCCATTTAAAGTGTACAATTTCAGTGGTATTTAATATAGAGTTGTGAAACCATCACCACTATCTAATTTTAGAACATTTTCATCACCCCCAAAATAAATCCTGTATCCATTGTTACTCCCTATTCTCCCTCTTTTTCCAGCACCTGGCAGCCACTAGTCTACTTTCTGTTTCTAAGGATGTGCCTATTCTAGACATCCTATATAATAAAGAGCTAATATGTAAATGGTCATCACGCCCTCACGCCATAATGGCTCAGACACTCAACACTGGGGAGAGAGGAATGGGGACCAGCCAGGCACAAATGATCTCGCAAGAGAGGAATGGGGACCAGCCAGGCTGAGGCCCGAGAGAGGGACAAGCTGCCCACCCCTTGGTTCTGGGTGCCAGTGGCTGCGCCTGTGCCTGTGGCCTGGGAGGGGGACAAGCCGCCCGCTCACGGTCCCCTGCGGTTGCGGCCGGCATGGGCAAAGCTAGCCTGGGTCCTGGGTGCCTGTGGCCGACAAGAGGGAGGGAAGCCCAGGTCCCAGGTGCCTGTGACCAGCAGGAGAAGGGAATCCTGGATCCCGGGTGCGGGGCAAGGCAGAGGTGGTTAGGGGCGATCAGGCACGCAGGTAGGAAAGCAGTAGCCAGCAGTCCCGGATTGCAGGAGACAGTCGGACGTCCCCTGAGAGGTCCCAAATTGGAGAGGGTGTAGGCCGGGCTGAGGTACCCTCCATCCCCATGCATGAATTTTGTGCACTGGGCCTCTAATTTCATAGACCAGCCAGGCTGAGGCCCGAGAGAGGGACAAGCTGCCCACCCCTTGGTTCTGGGTGCCAGTGGCTGCGCCTGTGCCTGTGGCCTGGGAGGGGGACAAGCCGCCCGCTCACGGTCCCCTGCGGTTGCGGCCGGCATGGGCAAAGCTAGCCTGGGTCCTGGGTGCCTGTGGCCGGCCAGAGGGAGGGAAGCCCAGGTTCCAGGTGCCTGTGACCAGCAGGAGAAGGGAATCCTGGATCCCGGGTGCAGGGCAAGGCAGAGGTGGTTAGGGGCGATCAGGCACGCAGGTAGGAAAGCAGTTAGTAGCCAGCAGTCCCGGATTGCAGGAGGCAGTCGGACATCCCCCGAGAGGTCCCAAATTGGAGAGGGTGTAGGCCGGGCTGAGGTACCCTCCATCCCCATGCATGAATTTTGTGCACTGGGCCTCTAATTTCATATAAATAGAATCACACAATATGTGGTATTTTATGACTGGCTTCTTTCACATAGCATAACGTTTACAAAGTTATTTGATATTGTGGCGTGTTTCAATTTTTCATGAGCAGTATTCCATGTATGGATATACCACACTTTTTAAATACATTACCAGTTGGTAGACATTTCAGTTGTTTCTACTTTGGGGCTATTATGAATAATGCTTCTATATTTGTGTATAAGATGCCATGTGAATATTTCATTTTCTAGGAACAGAGTTGCTGAGTAACATTGTAACTCGAGATACCATGTTTGACTTTTTAAAAAAAATATATTTTATTGATTTTTTACAGAGAGGAAGGGAGAGGGATAGAGAGTCAGAAACATCAATGAGAGAGAAACATCGATCAGCTGCCTCCTGCACACACCCCACTGGGGATGTGCCCGCAACCAAGGTACATGCCCTTGACCGGAATCGAACCTGGGACCTTTCAGTCCACAGGCCGACGCTCTATCCACTGAGCCAAACCGGTTATGGCCCATGTTTGACATTTTATGGAACTGCAATAGTGTTCTAAAATGGCTGTACCATTTTACAATCCCACTGACAATGTTGAACTATACATTTTTAAATAAGTAGAACAGTATGTTATCCCGGGATGCAAAAGCCTGGAAACCCACCTCACACTTGCTTATGTACAAAAAAAGGAAAAAAGGAAATTTATAGTTCACACAACTGAAAAGGAATAGACCCTAGCTTCACGTGCAGCGGGGACTCAGTGTGAACAGCCTTGTAAGGACTGGGTCCCACTGGGTCTTTGAACTCACTTCTGATTGGGATAAGGCTAAAGAGAAGATGCCACTTTTTATGATAGTAACTGATTCTTTGAAGCATGTAGAATGATTTGAATAAGACCAGTAAGTACTAAAATAACTCATGATTCGTAGTTCACTTTTTAAAAATATATTTTATTGATTTTTTACAGAGAGGAAAGGAGAGGGATAGAGAGTTAGAAACATCAATGAGAGAGAAACATTGATCAGCTGCCTCCTGCACACCCCCTACTGGGGATGTTCCCGCAACCAAGGTACATGCCCTTGACCTGAATCGAACCTGGGACCCTTCAGTCCGCAGGCCGACGCTCTATCCACTGAGCCAGACCGGTTAGGGCTCGTAGTTCACTTTTACCATACATTGAGGCACTCTTTAATTTCCCTTTTTGATTTGTTGCTTTGGATAGCCAGGTTCCCAACTCTCAGAAATCTTGTTTAAATTTCAGTATATTAAAAACAAACAAATTTATGACAGGAATGATCTGAGCCAAGAGTCTGGTTTTCCTGGAACACAGACTTTCATTTTCCTAACAATAAGGCATATATATTTAATTGGTTTAATGGAAACTGTTTAGATTGATATTTAGGAGAAGCTTTGAAGACAGACTGCATAAATGATAAAGATGACTAATGTATCTGACAAATACGAGCCCTGTTATACCCCAGCTCTATACAAAATTCAATATTGATTATCAGTGTGTTGCAAGGTGCTCCACAAAATAAACATAATATAGGCAATTGTCAAGTTTTCCTTCATCACCGAAAACATACTCTCAGAAATTAATCAAGAGATAGACAATTTTTTTTAAATTTCTTTATTGGTTAAGGTATTACAAATGTGTCCTCATCCCCCCAT